CTGCTTCAGGCGAGAAAAAATGGCATTAAATTTCAGTCATATCAGAATCATTTCCAAATAGAGCGTTACAATGTTATACTCTTGATTATGACATTTTATAAAATTTTTGATATATAACGCGCGCTCTGATTGGCTGACGACCGTGTTTATATCAGAGGACAGAGACACGGCTTACCGGCAAAATGTTCTTTTCGCTCGAAAATTTTTATAAAAGAAATATAAAACGGCCGCTTGTGTCTCTGTCCTCATTTATGCATCCGATGCCATCCAGGCAATCCAAGGGCTATAAAGTTGGGCCCATGCGAGAGGAGAAAGGGACGTTGCCCCTCAACTTTTTTCATACTGCTTCTAGACTAAAAGGAATCCATTAAAACTAAACAACATGCCTCTATTCTGGTCTTCATCATTTGGTAAACAAGGCCTGTTGTTGTTTTCCCTGGCTGGTGGTGTTGGTGGTGGTTCCACTGTCAGTACGTGGAATATGAGATTGAAAAGATTTCCAACAGAGACTATGATGATACCAAGATACTGGAGATATGAAAAAGCGTTACTAAGGGACCGGTCATAATTCACTATGGGAGAAATCAAGGGGGGGGCGGTACAAATTTCTAAACGAATGGGGGTGGGCCATTACTTTTTGGGAGGATGGGCCGATTTTTGTTTGGAGAAATGCACACTATAGATAGTTCAAATTTCACAGTCAGAAGATGTATTTAATAAAACAATATATATGCACCCTTTTAATAAGTCTCGAGGTATTGTGGGGTTTTTCTCCAGGTCCGCTGGTTTTCCTCCCTCTGTCAAAAACTAGCTGTGAGGAGTGTCGTGTAGTAAAATAATGAATGTTGAGGTAGTGAGTATGAGTGAATATATAGAGGGTCACAAGTTTACTAGTCTAGAGACTATTACGTGCTACCCTCTCAAAATAAAAGAGTTTTTTATACTCCAGGGGTGGGCCAGAGAGAAATTTTACATTTTACGCAAAAAACGCCCCCCCCTCCCGCTAAAACAATAAAAAATATTTTTACAATTAATTTACAATATTTTTCTTGAAAATTCTATTGATTTATGATTGTTCGAGAGTCGTCGTAAATATAAGCAGATGCCACGGTCGTAAGATTGATCTTTTATCTGGAATTGATATCCAATTGTGGAATATTTTTTGTGGTAAAAGCAAATAGTTTCTTGTTGTATGTCCTCTTATTTACCACGTAAAAAAGAAAAGACTATAGGACATATGTTAAATCTCTTTGGCTCTATCGAGATTCTAAATTTCCTAAAAGAAACGTTGGTCGGCAGCATGAACCGCAACTCTAATGTCTAATGATCTCTAATGTTGCACAGAATCTTTAAATTCAATCATTCTTACCATGAATTGCTTCCATTCTTTAGGAGACAAAGATTCTTCTTTGTTTTGTCCAAGTAGAACCCACGTGATAACGTAGATGAATATGCCGCAAATGAATGTTACCGCTGACCTAAAATGGAAATATCAATCCCAGTCAGTTCATTGTCAGTTGCTTCCAAAAATACATAAAATCTTAGAATATACATCCATTATTCTTGTTTAAACTTTTTATATGTTTTGAAGTAAACATTCTTCAGCTAAATAGTATCAAATGAAACACAACGCGTTCTGTTAAGTTTGTTATTATTGAATAAACATTGTTCAAACTTTTGTGTTTTAAAAAACCTGTCAGTTATTATTCATGTATTTTCAACGTCTTTTTTTCCTTACCATCATTAAAATGATAGTAAAACTAGCTCAACTAATAGCAAGCTTTTAATGAACAATGTTTGTCAGCTACAGGCATTCTTTCATTTTCAGAAATAAAAAAATTTTTACCTACAAATAAATGCCTCCCAGCTACCTCCACAAGTACAATAAGAACATACTAGATTTAACAGCGGGGGAAAATTTAGTGAAAACTATTACTAGTTATTATT